TCCACGAAAAATTGGCTCATCGAAAATATGATTTAACAGTATATTCAATTTAAAAAGCTTCAAATAACCCAATTTAGGATGTCAGTTGAAAATTCTACCAAAAGAAACCCATATTGACAAAGGAGTTATGAAACAAAGTAGAATAACAATTATCCCGAACATTCAGTTGATGCATACCTAAATTTTTAATGAACAGTCTCTGTACATTTTGAGGAAGTGATTGTTATTTTGTTGAATGAAAAAGGTGAAGATAACGAACAGTGATCGATCAGAAAAAAAACTACAAACAAATCTGTGAACTGGGCATAAAACACAGATCCCCGGATATTCAAGAGGTGGGATCAGGTGCCTAGGTAGGGTAAACATTCTCTATTGACCGGTCACGCCTGCTGTGAACCCCATGAATTGATCAGGTTGATGGAACATTCTGTAGTCAAATTTAGTATAAAAACAAAGGCCCAACAACGTCAGCCAAAATACGACCCAATTTAGAAATTTAAAAATCCAGACTGGAATATTGTTTAAATTCTAATTGTTTATTTACATTTAGCAACACTATTTTATTTTCATTATATTACATTAACCAAAGAGTTTTGGTACTCGTTATATTTTGTTTAAAAAAAATATTGGTCATTTTATGGTATTTTCCGAGAAACACTTAAGGGCCTCTAACATAAAAGTAGGTCATTTTCCTACATTTTAATGTGAATAATATCACTAAAATCGTAACTTAATTGGTTTTTAATTTCTATCAGTGGAAGTTTTTTTTTCATCTGAGTGCACTTCATCCTTAAGAAGTCTGCAAAAATTGACCAAATATGTAAATTTGGAGAAATACGCAAAATTTCGGCATCGTGAACTGAAATGATTCCACAGTTAAAAAAACCCAAAAAAGTGAATATTATGAGATGACAGGCAGAGAAAGTAATGTCATATTCAATATATGCAACAGGAAATATCATTTTCTTTTAAACATCTGAACAATACTTCAGTCATTAGAATTAAAATGAGCAAGGATGATAAAATGTACAATGACAAGCAGACATTTGCTACATTTGATTTCAATGTAGTCAATTTCGTTATCTGCACCTTCATATAGAAAAGATGACATTTTCCAATTTCGTCTTTCTCTCATATGTTTTGTTATGGGACTTTTAATTGGACTAGAAAATTACCCCTGTTTGCATCAAGTTTTATTCTTCAACTTTCGCAACTTCGGAAAAATTATTCAGGAAAAATAAAAAGCAGAAATGTTAATTTAATTCACTATCTAGATAGGAAATCTAGAGAATATACATGAGTCTTGTTTTCTCTTCATTATTGGACGACATTCTCACATAGCCAATGTGAGAATGTCGCTTAAAAGTTACGTTGATTTCAGGTGTAAACAATATTATGGTGGGATGTTAGGATGAAAATCGAAGCGCAAATGAAATATGCTTCTCATTTAAGTTTGATTTGTTTCACAGCATATAGCAGCATGTTCCCAGTTTTCAGAAACTCTATGAATGTAAAGCTTTGATTTTCATATTGGTATCACATTTCAAAATATGCTCGGTCTCTGAGCAGGAGTCATAATGTAAATCATATACGGTACCAATTTTGACCTCTCCCTTTTCAAATGAACTCAATATATATACACAAATCTTTAACAAATTTTGGCGCATTAAGAACTTTAATTTAGGAGTTTTATCCAGGCTTTTTGACATCATGGACAGCTGCTTTTTCAATAAAAATAGAACTCGTAAAGGATGATTCTCTACATGTATAAGGTCTTTTTCGGGCCTAAGATAAAATTACCTAAAAATGTAATTTTATTTAACTTTAATCATTCTATTATATGATTCTGATGTTTGTTTTTCAATATCGATTACCTGAGTCACTTGATTTAGAAAAAACAACAAATGATGGTCCAGTAATGACAATTTGAGGGTAAGTCTATAAACATCAGGTTTTTAAGCAAGTTTCTAAATTTAAAATATCAAATTTTTTTATTTATGTCGGGCATATATCAAACTAAAATAATGAATACAAAGATTGTTTCATTTTAAGGATTAAATTAATTTTTTATGGCGTGAAATTTGATGTATTCACATTTTGCATATTTTGAATGGAAATCTTTATAAAATGCACACCGTATGATGTGAAAAAAAAATGTTTTTTACCATTTGATTTAAAAGTATTATTTCACGTAGGTTTTATTTGTATTTGTGCATTGTTTTTATTGATGTGCTACCTTTTTTTACGCATGAAATGCTCATGTAGGAAATGTGTTTTCGAAGTATCTATTGAACTAACACAGCTGTGTATCAAATGTTGAAAACATTGAAGGAATTCTGTTTGTGAATTAAAAAAAAATTCAGTTGGAATCAATAAAATAGATTCTAAATGAACAAAAAAAAAAAAACCCATTAACGATATGGATTAAAGTATTAATGCAAGTACATGTTGATTAAATCATATGAGTGGTGAGTGTATAAAACTCAGAAAGGTTGTTTTAAAAATACATACTTGTAAGTAAAATGAATTCACATCGTAAGAATTGCTTTGATTTCATTTATTTCGAATATATAAAAATGTATTTATTGTAAAATGCTATCCGAAATATAATACACAAATGTATACAGTGTATATAAAAGTCAAGTCTCTGCTCCCCCCTCCCTTTAACGGCACTCCATAATAACGGGTAAGATTTTCAACAGCTCCTTCCAATATGCATATCAAAAGTTTTAGTATTTCATGGACTAACATCAAAGGTATAAAATGGGACCTGAGGGTTTGACGCTTCGAACTCTTGAGGCCCAAGGGTTCAATTTTCGTTCCCAGTACCGCGTCAAAAACTAAGGCATTTCACGCGGCTAGTGACTGTTCATTTGCTAAGTCTTCAGAGATAGAAGTAAAAGTCATTAGTCTTTTTTTTATATATTAAATAAAAAAGGAGGTCGCCTCAATCAGGAAACCATGGATAAATCAAAATTGTGACCTTTCACATTCAGCGGATAACTTCTTTAATTGGGTGAAAAAATTCTAAATTGTCGTAGTTTCTAGAATGTCGTAAAGCAACATTCAATTATCAATCACTTGTGACCTCAGGAAACTTCTTTCTCCCTAGGCATTTAAGTTTTTTAACACAGAACTGCTGATCTTGTGGCTAATAAGGTAACACAAAATACTCGGATTTTATGTCAATCATACAGAAAAATATGAGGGTCCTTCTAAAAGGCCAGTAATTTCATATCTATAATGTATCTATAAAAATTACATATATACCTATAGATGTATCTTCCCATTACAACAAAGATATCTTTTACCTCTTCTAGTACTAACAGATATGCGGTACCCCTTAGGAAAAAATGCAAAAATATAGCATAAATAAATTAACTATAATGATAAAAAATAATAATTATAATGAATAATTTAATCTCAAATCTGAACATTTAAAAAAAGTTTTCCCCCTTTATTTCTAACAGACAGTTCAATAAAAGTTGTCTTTAGGTGTAAATTCATAACTTCCAGTCCTTCCAGCGTTTTGATTTTAGATTTTAGGGTAAAAAGTTGACATTTTTCGAGTAAAAATGCATTGCTTATATTTTGTTATGTTTATTCAACAGAAACATATGCTCTAACTAAAAGTTTATTAAAAGAAATAATCTAAACAAGCTCGCAGCCTTCATTTTTATTCATTAGATTTTCCTGCAAATATCCTAAAAATGAAGAGAAAAGCTTTTATTTACATGCCATAACCACCTTTAACCAAGTTCATAATCTGATAGTCACTTTTTTGTTTATAAAAAGTTTACATGCAAATTTTTGGTGTTGGTTAAAGGTGGTTATGACGTGTAGGAGTTGCTTAACACACCCTTCCTCCTGAATTTTCCCATTACCCTTATGCTAATACGGACTGATAGCTTTGTGACCTTATATCACAACAGATACTATAGCGCCAGCAACTTTATGATAAACGTGATGACTCCATTTTTTCTCTATCGTTAACTTCCCTTATTTATATAGCGATATACCTTTATCACATGCATATGAAGTTTACATGTATGTCTCCCAGTTGATTCGTTACGCAAGAGTATGCTCTTCAAACGAACAGTTTCTAATACGAAGCAAACTTTTGACGAACAAAGTGATGAAAGAAGGATATCAACAGTCTCGTTTTAATCAACATTTCGCAAATTCTATGGCCGATTCAATGACCTTGTCAGCAAGTAGAATCTATCTTTGATTCAAAGGCGCACGCGAAGGTGTGACTTGTCGACAGGGAAAGCTTACTCCTCCGGAATTCAATGCACCTGATCCCATCTCTGATGTTTTTAGAGGTCCGTGTTTTCTCTGTTCCCGATTTATATTGTTTCCATGGACTTTTGAGATTGATTACTGTTCGTTATCTACATATTTCATACATATTTTATTCCGGAAAACAAGGGCTTTGAAAAACATTGAAAACATACGATAATCTCAAACAAGTTTAAGTGTATCATTGCTTTGATATGGTGTATCAATGTGTATTGAAACTATCATTATTGGTATAATTGTATTTGTAGTTTCAGGATATTGATACCAATATACAACCCTATTCGTTATAACAGTGATATTTGCGGGCATCGGAGGTCTAACGAAAACTAGGTAGCATGTTGATTCCCACTGTTATCTCCATACCTGAATAATTGCAAACATAAAGCTAACCCCTGATATACCGTTAGAAATCCACAAGATGGTTTGTTACAAACAATACATACTTTTCACATGCCGACTTTTTTTTTTTAGAATACTTTCGAGAATGTTGATCTAAATTACTTCGGCAATGGCAATCCCTTAGAATAAATAATGTCGTTTCCTCCAAATGTTTATCTGAGGAATGACTTTAATAGTTATCCATTTTATACTTCTTTAACCTAAGTTGGGACGGGTTACGCTTTATAAACTTTTGAGGATTTTTTAAATCGTAAACTGTTCCATGCAGCCCTGGTATACAAGCATAACTTGGATAGCTGTTAAATTTATATCTTTTAATTTAATTTTCTATCATAAATTGTAAAAATAAAACAATTTTTTCAGCAAGAAATAACTTCAAATTGTACAAAATTTAATTGTAACATTAAGGGGACCAATGATTTTTTGTCTCAAGTCATATTGTGATGTAGGCAACACAGGTTATAGGATACAAACTAAATGTTCTATCTAATCAAATGGCGCGTTAAAATCAGAATCAAATTATAATTAAGTAAAGCAATATTTAAATGGCGGACATCTTTAACTCTTCGTTGCTCTCATTCTCTTCTTCATCCTCAACTTCCGGTATCTTCTTTTTCAGTCTCAAACGTATCTCTAAGGCAACGTAGGTTGTTATTGAGAGGATACCAACGGAAATGATAATATACAACCTTGACCTTTCACACAGGTAATAAGCCAGGCATATGATTGTTGTGTTGCCTAATGATTTCCATGTTGCAAGGCTGGCGAACGCTGCATCCGTTTTCGTTGGGTAAATAGATGAGAGTAAAGCTAAAACAGAACAAAATTTCATGCATTATGCATGTTATGTGGGAATATAAAATAAAGTCAGTTTTATTGTAAGAATTAAGATACAGAATACCTTTAAATTTCTTCTGATCTAAGATTTAAAGAACATGTACAATTTTCTTCAATTTTGCTCGATTAAGATGTTCGTACAGATCCTAATCTTTGATAAAATTTGGTCACTATTTCTATTGGTATTCAGAAAGATATCAAATCATATTGAATAGAATGGAGTCTCAACTAAATTTTATTTGTCTTAATTATTTTTTTTAAATTTAAGATCAATGTTTTAGGCAATGTGGAAAGAAATCTTGGCTTCTACTACCAGAGTGAATACAATTTAATGAATTATTAGGTACTTTTAAGAAATTATATTGATCGGAGGTACAAGAACTCTAAATCTTTGTCAGATTTTCTGTATACTTACCACATTGCATTGTATTGAAGCCTCCTTCCAGTACTCCTTGTATGGAAATAAACCCCATCATTTGGGGCAGTTCGTCCTTTATAGGTGTCCATTCTAAGAAAACCACATACGTTATAGTGAATCCAATAATTAATAAAGTCAGTACATATTTTCTACCGATCAAATTAGCCAGCCTTGGAAGGACAATTGACGATATTCCGCTAAAAACTCCATGCAGGGCCATTGCAAATCCAACAAACTGCACACCATATGGACAGCTGATATAGGCCTGAAAGAACGTTAGACAGACATAAATATTACAAGCAATTCTGTTGACAAATTCTGCCATTTTATCGTTATGTGTCTATTCAATATTGTTAAATATTATATTAATCACCCTGTAATAAACACCATTAAAGAATCCTTTAAGAGTAAGAAGTGATGAAAAGAAGATAGAACATGGTTCAATAGAAACATAAGACATTTACTTGACTTAATAAGGTAAACATAATCAAAATTAAATTGTCTTATCCTATTTATAACATTCAATGAATGTTTAATAAAAATGAGAATAATTATGATAATAATAATAATAATAATAATAATAATAACTGCAATTAAGCGTTTAATTTATAAAATACTTAAAAATAAAATAAATTATATTTTCCTATATAGTTCTTTCTCTTCTCTTAAATATTTTTTTTTCATGAAAAACACAGTACTATATCTTTCTGGAAATAAAAATATTTTCAGACATTTTGAAAAGAAAATGTTAAAAGTCGTAACTGCATTAAATTCACATTCGAAGTAGTCTTCAATTAAAGGAAGCACGTTATTTCGTGTGGAATTTGTTGAACTTTTTCTACTATCAGCCTCTCTAATTTATTAATACAAAGGACGGTGTACAAAAAGCATATCTTAATATATTTACATTTCACATTTATTTTGCTTATAAAGTGTGTTGAAAGCTACGACTTTTAAAGCACCATAACACGAACGGTCGGGGGTCCAAGATTAAAGAATGCGTTTTATTGCGACCTCACAAACGTTGAACACCATGCAAGTGCAAAGTCATAAGTGAAAATCATATTTCACGCTCACATTGAACAGAAGCTTTTGCAATGTCTCTTCCATTAATTGTAGCTTACACGAGGGATAATACAGGGATTTTGAAATATAAATCACATTTGCAGATAAGGCAAGAAGTTAAAGATTTAAACATAAGCATTGAACGATAATTTTTTGAAAGATGAAATATCATAACTGTAAAGGTTTATGCAAATAAAATGAGTAACGCATTAGTATATCCTCGTTAGCTGAGAATTAATGACCTGAAAACATCTGCACATAATAATGTGTTAGACCTTGGAAACGTCAATCCACCGGAAGGACTCCACAAACGACAAAAGCACGATGGACGGGATCATTAGAATCATCTCTACTTCAGTGTTCACTCGAAGACAAAAATGGGAGGCGGATAGCATCTTTCTAATGGCACTATTCTTTGATGAAGTCACGGGGGCTGGAAGTGATGGTAATAAACAAATGCATAACAGCAGACCAATAATGCTGGAAATTACAAACGCAGACATAAGTATTTTGACCGTTAGTGCATCTGGTAAAGCGAACTGTCCCTCTGCTACAGACTGTTCTGGACATAAATCTGCACCACATACTTTGATTCTACCGTACTCTGAAGCGTTAGTTGTTACATTGTAGTCTCCTTGCATTAAAATAATGGAAGACACCAAGTTTCCTAATATACTAGGAAATGCATAACTAAAGAAAAATATGCCATGAAATTTGCCAAATATTTCCCTCATTTGAACGTTTTGGGTTTGAGAGAAAGATATTGCACAGTGCGATATGTACATCCCTTGTGTCGTCCATATTAGACCGGAAGTTATCCCAACAAAGGCGGAAGCCGGAAGCAACGTCCAGAATACTGGATGAAGATTGCTTGCAGTATACACTACATGGGCTATAAACCCTATTATCAAACAACCTTTGGGGGTGAAAAGCTGGATGAACGAAGGGGCAAAAATTGACGACAGAAGAAAGCCTGCATATAGAATCGACAAAGATATCACACCGTATCCTTCCTCGTTGTTAAGAGTACTCTGTAAATTTTGAATGCCAACAAATCCGCTAAATATCACCACAAATATAACTGATAAAGTAACAACAGTTCGTCTCTCTTTTCCGGAGATATCATTTCCTGGTCTACAGACACTTGGTTGACACATGTTGTTTACAGTTGCAATATGACTAATTCGATGCACCATACGTAATGTCCACGAAGTATATGATTGCATAATTTCTGCTTGACATAGTTTCCACACTGGCTGATACACAGGATTTTCTGATATAACTCTAGAGGTAAATATGGAGTGGCGGATTTAGAGAGATCTAGCCCCTTATTTATGACAAAATATAAACACTTAATTATAATAGGTTATGTTTTGATGTCAGTTATTACAATCATTATACGTAAAAGTATATCCGAGGGTTTTCGGCCTGCTCTGCTCCCCGTAATTTATGGGTAGCAGAGCGGACCGAAAATCCTTGACTAGCGAAGATGAGTTAAAATGAGTACACAAATCTGTTAGTTATAAAACTCATAACACCTGGGAGCTTCACCCCTTTGGCCTCACCATGATTTGCCCTGGACTCACTAGAGGCCTTAAGGCGGAATTCAGACCCCTCACCTACTGCCCCTCCTTTCGATTCAATAATCCTGGATGTGCCACATATATTTTTAGTGAGGTGGAGTTCTTTATAAATTTTTTTTTAAGAAATCCAAGTCTTTTTTTTAAAGGCTGGACTTATTAAAAAAAAATTACCTATAAAATAAGCACACCTTTTGAAGGTTTAATAATAATAATCGATATGTCAATCTCGAAAGTCCAATAAAACGATACAGATTTGGAGCAGAGCAAACACGGACCTCAAAATTTAGAGGTGGGATCAGGTGCCATGGAGGTGTGAGCATCCCCTGCCGACCGGTCAAACTCGCCGTCTGCTCCTTGTCATGATCGGAAAAAACGGAATAAATCCGTAGACAGTTCAGTGTATAAATAATGGCCTAACAATTAGTATGAAAAACGTCAGTCAGCATATGACTCAATGATAGCTTGTATTTGCTGACAAGGTCATTGTATCGACCGTAAAACTTGCGAAATGATGACTTCAAATGAGACTGTTGATATCCTTGTTTCATCAATTTGTTTGTCAATATCTTGCCTCGTTTTAGAAACCGTTCATACGTAGAGCATGGTCTTGCGTATCGAATCAACTGAGAGATATAAACCCCATATGCAGGTGATAAGGGTATATTGCTACATAAGTAAGGGAAGCTGACGATAGAAAAGTTGAAGTCATCACGTGCACGTTTTCATAAAGCTTTGTTGTTAGGTCAAACAAAATTTTAATCCAGAGTAACATTGAAAACATGTTGTCCGATTAATCTATTATTCGTCGATTAAAACTTCCAAATTATGATAATGAAATAGGCTCAGTCTGACATCCTTAAATACCCAATTTATCTAATATTAAGACAAATTTTTAAGTCATGTATCTGTTTACTGAAAAAGACCAATTTTTAAATCATCTATCTGTTTACTGACCTGAGTAAACATATCGCTAAAGACAAGAAAATATCTTTTTATTCTTGTTCGAAATCTATTTTTGATTGTGTCTCATAAACCGTCCCGTTAGAGAATTTTTCACTCATATAGAGACATCACCATATACGGTGAAGGGCTTCAAATTTAGGCCTTTATTATTGCACTCAGGGTCATTTTTTATCGTGCCAACGCCTGACACGGGGCCTCGGTTTTTAAGGTCTCATCCGAAAGACCCTTTAAAGTGCCGAGCGCTTGGCGAAGGAACAGTTGCTTCCTATTTTTTGTCGATTTAGGTCAGTCGCGGCCGTGATTCGAACACAAGACCTTCCAATATTACGAGCGAGCGCTCTACCGACTGAGGGTTTCAACTGGATAATATTTTCCAAAGCACTTCTCTACCTGTTTTTCAATTGGCTTTACCACAACAGTCATTTTCCTATCGCCTTTTCCCTATTCAATATTTCCCATACATTGCTAATAAATCATGTTTGTTATTTCTTCTTTCCTTTCCGGTATATTTTTAAAACATACTGTATGCGTAATAGAAAAAAAAGTGGGCTTCATATTTTAGCGACTTTGGCGATGACAACAATGCCTTAATTCATGAATACCTTTAATAAATAATTCTAAAATACAATACACGGCGCAGATGTGTGCATCGCTAATTCCTTATTGCGCCAAGCAGTAAATACCCAGTGACTGCGCTAAATTTGTGTACACCTACAGTATCAAAAACAAAATGGCTGCTAAACATTCGACTTATGTCACAACTTGGGCTTATAAGGACACCTGACAGCTATTCCGACTCTGATTCTGCCTTTTAACATATCAATTTTTTCAATAGTTTTTTTTCCTCTGCATCCTTTCAAAACTGTCGAGCATTTTCCTTTTTTTGCATCTTCAATTTGCTTTTATTATTCACAATCGGTAGTGCTTTCTTAAACCATATCTTAATACTTGCGGAGACTTCCCTTCCATAATCAGTATTAGTAGTAATTTATTTTTTTTAATTTCATTTAGATTTACGATCTTCAATCCTCTGTAGAAATATGTTTCACAGCGTTATTAATTTGCATAATTCTCGCAAAGCACGAATATTCCTTGCAAGGGCTGCTGAATTTGAGTTACCTGTATGCATACATTCGCCTTCAAAGTTAGAAAATTGCATCGCAAAAATTAGAACATTGTATGAGAGAGAGGTATCTAGAAAATCCAGTGATATTGGTAAATAAATGTATGAGACTGGTGTTGAAGAGTTTTAACTGAACAATTCCATCGTAAGAGAATTCAAATGAAATTGCAAGGAAAAGAAAAAGTGGTTTCATTTTCATAATTTGTCGTGCTAAATGTATGTCGACTATTATTTACGTAAGTAAAACGACAAATAATTTTTAATCCAATGCTTTACAGTCCATAAATTTGTGCACTTTCTTTGACAATCTGATATAGGAAGAAACAAACGGCTGATGCAAGTAGAAAATTTGAAAGTGTTAATCAAAGAAGGAAAAAAAACTGTGCACATAAAGGATATAAAACTGAAGAAAATTTCAGTATTTTTAGACTTAAAGTAGAGTTTGTAGGCCTGTTTGATAAAACAAAAAGTATTAAAAAATAAAAGCACATAAAAAATAACACTGAAGCAAGTAGTACAAATACAAAATATTCTGAAACTGAAATTCTACTTAGATATTCATGCACTGCCGATTTTTTTTAAAATCTTGCCACACATTTCAGAGCAAATGTAGTTTATTACATAATTTTAGTATGGCAACAAACCCTAACAAAAAAGTACTATAGTTAACTATATAGTTAACTATAGTTTACTATAGTTAACTATAGTTTACTATAGTATCGAAGTTTTTTCACTATTGTAAATCAAAGTTTTTTTACTATGGATTTCAGAGCGTTATATTTTTTGTTCTTCAATTCATACCTGCACATTTCTTATATTAAATTGAAATATTATATTTGTATATTCACACATTATTTCCAAATTTTACATTACTGTTACCGAATTTTAGAGATTTTATGCTTTAAAATCTCAAAAAAGTTCCAGAGTAAAGTTCCATAGTTAATCAAAGTATCAAAGTTTTCACTATAGTTAACTATAGTAAACTATAGTTAACTATAGTAAATTTTTGTTAGGGAAGTCTTTTCAGTGTAAAAGCAAGATGTATATACTAGCCTTTTGTACATAACAGCTTTGTCTCTCTCTCTCTCTCTCTCTCTCTCTCTCTCCGTGTATGCATGTATGTGTTCTCTCTCTTTCATTATATTCTATGTGTATATAATCTCTCTCTTTCTCTCTCCATCTGTGTTTTTTAGTATATGAAGTTTCCTTTCTTTGTAAAATCAAAGGTGTTTGGTTGATTAGTAACATCGACAATAGAAATAAGTAATAATAGTACTTTTGCTTAAAGTCTTTTTTAATATACAGTGTATTTTTGTCTGTAGTATTTCAAATTGGTTGCAAAACAGGGGGGGGGGAACTTTGTAAAACCAGATTTTTTTAACAGAGAAATTATAAGTTTTTCTCTAAGAAAGAAACTAATCTATACTGTACACCATAAGAATATAAATAAATGAAAACAGGAAATACTTCATCTGCAAGACTGTTTCATGTAAAGCTACAAAAACTAGAAAAATACCAAATCCCTGTATCGGGTATTGTGTGTGCGTTTTGATTTGTTGGAGTAGTCGAATATGTCATTTCACTACAACCATATTTGGTTCGGTTGCAAGGGAACCAATATGTTTTGATAAGCAAAATAGATCAATTAATCTATTTTTGTTAAGCGGAATGATTTGAAGAGGAAAAAAAAGCGTGACTCCGATATATACCATTTATTAGCAAACTTTAGGAAAAATCATAGATAATCATGAATCAAATTTGACAATTTAAGATAAAATATAAAATGTCATTCTCAATACATTGATATTGCAGCACTTTATATTTATTAAAATAATTTTCTCGGTAGAAAAGGAACAATTATTTTGTTCTATATTTATTTTTCCCTTCCTTTTTGAGACTATAAACAAAGTAGTATAAAAATGTGAGATACATATCAACTACCTCTTCTTATAGAGTATTCCTAATGTTCAAAGAGTAAACCTGTAATTGTATTTCGCTTTTGCATTTTTTTTAAAATTCCAAATGATTATACGAACATACAAGGCTGATAATATTTGATAATATGACATACTTTTGTTTGCTGTTATCCCATGGTAAGCGACAGTTATATTAGCTGACTATTATGTATATGAAATTAAGCTGATATATGTAAACCACGGGTGTGTTTATACATAAAAAAAAAATTAAATTACCTTAAATCTATTACTCGTTGACCACCCTAAGTTAATAAAATAAGATAAAACCAAGGCTGTAAAAACCACAATCCAATCTTAAAGTCTAAACGATTAATTGTTTGATATTTTGTTGAGTGTTTAAGCCTCTTGTGAGGTCATCTTTGTACGAGGGGTTATCAAAAAGTTCGTGGACTAGCGTCATAAAATTAAAACCGCTTAAGATACATCAATGAATTTTTAAACATTAAATAAGCATCTTCTTTTCTATCCGTAAAATAAACTATAAATCATAAGTTTTATTTTTGAGTGAATCGTAAATGTTTTTGTAAGCAATGGTATGTCAAGGCGGCGCAACCTCGAACATGACGTATTTTCTACCTGAATGTAACTGAGAAAAACTCTTCTAATATGAGCATTTGTCATCCGAAATTCCCATTAATTCACTCATGTGATATGACATAATTTTTCCGTAAAAGTTGCAATTTTTACCTGATTCTATATATTCTATGAAATTTTATCGTAAATTTTATAGGGAATGTCCAAACAATATAGGGGTTAAA